CGATCCTTCCAATGAGCAATCAGGGTTGATTTCCTTTAAGATTGACTGGTTTGACCTCCTAGCAGTCCCCGTAAGTTAACGAACGTCAAATCTAAACTTTGCTTCCAGCAGTGGCAGCCAGCAGACATGATTGAGACTCGCATCATCTCATGATTTCATTATCATTGTTAACTGTCTTCTGTAAAATTTAGGAGTGGGATCAGGCGTGCATCAGCACAGCCTGCTGGCATTTGGGTCAAAAGAGGCTTTCAGTCATAGAGATTATTCAGAGTGCTTCCTTCATTTGCTGAATGGTTTCCTTTTTAAAAAATAATTCCAGATTCTAGCCCCCAAAAATATCTAGGAACAACACCAGCATTTGTAGTATCCAGTACTCCATGTTCTTATTGTGAAACGGGTGGGTGCTGGAGCCAGATTTTACCTTGCTAAGGCTTCTAGAGTTTCCTTTGTTTCTCTCTATTAGTAGTAATATGAAATGATGAACACGTTTCTTTTCCCTGTTTTCTTTAAAATGAGACGTATTTATTTATCTATTCATTTTTTATTATTATTAAATTTGTATGCCACCCCACTCCCAATGACTCTGGGTAGCTCACAAGAAAAAACATTTTTAAAAGGATACAATCAGCAACACAAAAAAGGGAACAAAGATAGCAAGGCAACAAGATCCTAAATAGCTCCACACCCATTTAACAATGCACGATCTCTGCTGGGTGAGGGCTGAGCGGGTACTTTTTACATATCGGTGGAAAACATAGGAAGCAAGTACTGTAAGGCAGGTGCCACATTCCCATCGAAGTTAAAGGATGGTGGCCACGATCCACAAAAATCATGCAACTAGTGTTGCACCCTGAATAGTACGTTTGGCTTGTGTTCTTCAAACAACAGGACCCGTGTGCATGTGCTGTGTGCACTGCTAAGTCTGTACGTGCAGCTGCTTTGGAGTCCACAGTATGGCAGAGTGACGGGGAAGGAAAAGGAGATTGTTGTTCAACATGTCACTGAACCGACCCCACCATCGCAGGTGCTGCCTTCCTAGGTCTTTCTTCGTGTTTGTGAGACGTTTGACCTTGAATCTAAATTTGAATCCCAGTAATTTCTGCTGATGTTGAAAGAGCATTTAAACAACTCTTGATATATCTAAGCGATGTGGAACTTGGTGTTTTTCTCCACACCACCCATTCTATTTCTGAGTAGCGTGGGTTGAGGCTGCCTTAATTTGCCTCTTTTTTATTAACTTTGGATGGTTGGAAGGTTCCTGCACTTAGTCACATCTGAGAGAACTTGGAACAGGTTCTAGAGATGGAGACGCATTTACCTTACACGATGTTATTATTCTATGGCTGGGTGGCTTGACTATTAAACCAACAGAATGGGGTTTCATAAAATCTGTATCTCTTTGTAAATGCATGCTTTCTGTGATGCAATAGGCCTGACACTTATAAATAAAACATCTGCAGATCGCACTTCACCCTCAGTATATATATGTGTGTGTTCAGAAGCTATAACGCCACTCCAGGGTGTAAAGCCATAAAGACGGAGGCCAAGGGGTGAGTGCCGATAGGAACAGAGACGCAGAGTTATATATCTTTCCAACTACCTGCCCTGAAGTGCTTGGTTCAACTCATAAGGCAGTATCTTTCCCTCCTTTAATAATTAAAAAAAAAAGGCATGACAGCTTCAAAAAGAGATTTGGGCTTCTTTTAAGATTTAGTACCTTCTCTCACATTGCTTTTCCTTCTTTGAAAGGAAAGGGCTTCTAAAACAACTGCCTACCTGGCAAGCTTGGTCTTTTGGTACTGACAAGATCCTCTGCCCATGAAGGAAAGCCTGGTTGAGGTCCTCTTTGGTTATGGACTTGCGAGAAATCTTGCTTGGCCATACCTACAGTTGGCTTCCTTTCAGGGTAGATTAGTGGAATGAGAATTGTTCCCTAGCTTGATTTCCCAGATTCATCCTGATCTGGCTCTGATTCTTGCTTATACTCCAGAATTGTGGCTGGCTGGCAACACAGTTCTGGTGAGCATCAGAATGACCGTGACACTCTGCAACAATGGTTGTAGGCCATCTGAATGCATTTTCTTAATGGCCAAAATCTCATGAAATCGTGATCATGATCATGAGATCATGAAGGCTTGAAAGGTTTCAGACAGATTTTCTTTTTAATCAGGGAAGGGGGTAGGAGCTGAAAAGGTGGCCACTTACACAGCAGCAATTATTTTTCTAGTCTTGCTTGTTTTCCTCAGGTGAGGAAGTCTACAGTCTGCTGGTGCGTTCAAGTAGCATTTTCAGCCTAAGCTTACAGCCAAGCTACACCAATTTCTGTGAACTTCTACCTATTTCAAACCTCATCCTGGTTGTGAATTTTTCAAAATCTTTTAACAAGACCACGTGAGGCATTGTCTGTCTTTTGGACAGACACATAGCAAGAGAGAAACCGTTGGACATAGGCCAACTGGAGCAGGAACTGAAAATTAAGCTAATACTGCCAGTCTTCTGAAATCTTCCTGGATGAGACAAGCTCTCGAAGTCATTCCTAAGTAGTAGAATGAGAAAAAACGGTACAGACTTTTCTGGCTCCATGGTTAGTTTGGAATACTATAGATAATTGAGTACAATAAAAGATTAATATTGCGGGGTTTCGCCTCTCTGGTAGAGCTAAATCATGAAATGTGGCTCCAAAAATCAGTTTTTAGAATATTTATAATCTATTTTTGCAACATCTCTGTGGAATCCTGTCCACCAGGACTTGGCCTCAGTGTACCGAACACGCACTTGTATCAAGGTAAAATGAGGAGGAATTCCACAGAAGAAAAGGATTTGCTTTCTCTCCTTTGTGAGTGTGTTTATGCCCAGAGAAAACATTTTGACAAACGTTTCATCAAAATCTAATCCAAGTGGTAACTCTGTCCGCCTTTTGGCTGGAGAGCTACCTCCGACTTGCGCATACAAAAGTTAATTCTGTGTGTTGATGATGTTGTCATAGCAGTAGCTTAAGTGAGCTTTGAATCTGAGTGGATTGCTTCCTCTTTCTTACCTTAGACCTGTCCTTTTCACTGTGTGACTGAGCCATTTTGCCCCTCTGAAATCCAGATGCTTGCATCATTCATAAACTACTGATTGATCAAAGGAGGGAGCCTTGTCCTGTCTGCTTACAAAGGGTGGTTGAACTAGAGAGGCAGGAAGAAGATACCTGTTTATCTGTTGATAGGAGGGACGGGGCTGAATACGAGAGGGACGCACGCAGGACTTCAGGTCATGCAGCGATGCGCTCGGCTTTGGCCACCATTGATTTTGGCCTCAGTGGCACCATTTTCCTGAAGCTTTCAGTTCCTAAGCTCTATTTAATGGAATCTATGCATAGTAAGTAACCAGGTCAGAGAGAAGCAGCCTTCCCCGTTTGAGATCAATCGCTGGCTAATACTTTATCTAGGTCACTTTATTATCTCATGGCAATGCCGTTCCCATCCGCCGCCTCCTTTTGTAAGACACACTTCAGCTGTGGGGAAAGTGTGTTAGCGCATACATATTAAAAACATATACCCATTCTATCTGTATGTAAATGCACAAGGCACAGCTGGATATTGCCAAGGAGTTTGATTTACTAATGGTTATTATCTGTTCTCGCTGTTCAGTGGCAGAGAGAGTTCCAGCAAGCATCATCCTAACATGGAAATTGTCTCCCAGTGGTGCTAGCCTGCTTTTGAGAATTGTTCAGAAAGGCGGCCCGGTTGCTGGGGCTTTGCCATGACTGCATTTTGGAGAGGTTCTTGCAGCCTCCTTGCCGAGTCCTCCTCGTGAAGCGTGTCCCGTTGCCGGAAAGCAGAGAATGTCCTGCGTGGCTCCTGAAAGCTGTCCCTCCTTTGGATTGCCCTCTGCTGCGGGACAGAGCGTCCCTGGCAGAAAGGACACGGAGCCCTCCTCCCACCCTAAAGGACCTAGAGGCACCTCTCCTTTGTTTACTGTAGCCCCCTCCCCCCAGAAATAGTGGCCTGTGGATAATGCTTTGTGAATGCCGTGGCTTCTTCTCCCCTCCCCTCTGCTTCTCTCCAGGGAAAGGGCATGAAGAAGCATTCAGACAGGCAGGAGCAGCGGCAGCATAAGTGGAGCCTGCCTGGGCTAACCAGAAGGTGCCATTTCAGAAGTGATCCAAAATGGGCCTTCCATTCTTTCTCTCCTGCACAGATATACACAAACTCTACTTTGCACTCTTTGGCACATTTTTTCACACTTGCTCCTGATTATCTTTCAGTCGTCTTCTTGACTTGGAAGGCACCTTTGCTCCCCTGTCCCCACCGGTTGGGGCCACCCAGTTGGGATAAGGAGCCTCTGCGGGACCAGTCAGGACAAACCATGCTCCTGTTTTGATTCTGAAGATGAACACATGGAGCAGGGATGTCTCTCTGCTGCTGGTGCATTTGAGACCTCACTGCAAAGAACCAACCGGAGGGAGGGTGAAGGTTG